CAACTGTTCATCTCAACGGCGTGAAATTTGTTTTGCATCATGTTATCAATGTTCTCTTTCCAAAAATGCATTCATATTTATTACAAAAATTTGATGTCACAGGCCCTTTAAGATCAGTGGCAGCACTGTGGATCAGCGGTTAGCATCAATGCCTCACAGCAAGGTCTTGGATTTGATCCCTGGTTTAAACATGATAGGGCTGTCTTCAGGCCTCCTTTGTGAGGTTTGTCTGGTTAAATAAAGATTAATGAAGAGGTTTTGGGTTGTAATTTGATTATGGGGGTGTTTTTGTGCCTACATTTAATTCCTGCAGAAATATTTATCTTCTTCAGCTTCAGGGCCTGTGAGTGTTTCAGCTTGTGTTTGTCAGCCTGGAGCATCAGATACTCTGATGTGTTTATTTAATTCTTACTGATATTTAACGAGGAGCCTCTGAACATTTGATGATGAGTGACAGCTCTGCTCTGTCTTTAATTGGACTTCCTGGATGTTCCATCCCTGCTATCAGAGGCGATCCAGGCTCCGCTGCCACGTTTGAGATAAAAAAAGGCTCTGAAACAGTGATTTTACAAACACTGCCAGCTGTGGAGCTTCATGATCAGCACAAACCTGCCTCCAAGCTCTTATTAACTTTATTTTAACGAGACGTTTCTCTGTCGGCTGCTGTCGTCTCTCAGTGGTTTCTGTAACGTTTTCTCCTCTCAGAGGCTGAAACGTATCCAAACACGAAGCTGAACTTTGACCACAAGCTGCAGGACTGGAGCAGTGAAACGGGGCTCATGACCTTTGTCAGGTAAATATTCCCTGATCTGACAACCAGACACACAAAGATAAAAACATGTCCTATTTTATATGGAAAAGTCCAAAACAATAAACATCTTACCTGCYGTAGATAGCCTTTTGTACCTTCAGATGCAAAACACTGTTTTGCTACATTTAGCTTTTACCGAGCCAGTTTTCTATTTTTAGCTAGCTTTTTGCTACTTTCTGCTTTGCTACGTTTAGCTAGCCCTTTTCTGATTTTAGCTACTCTTTTGCTACTTTGTTTGCCACTTTTTTACTTTCACCTAGCCCTTTAACACTTTACCAAAAGCATCTGATTCTCAGATCTCAGAGCTTTACCTGGATGATAACTGTAGCAGCTCAGAAAGGTAAACAGGTGCAAGACCATTTAAACACTTAAAAACCAAAAGTTAAACTTTAAAAACAATCCTAAAAGAAACAGGCAGCCAGTGAAGAGAATACAATATCGGGGTAATGTGCTCTGATCGTCTAATCCCAGTTAATGAGCAGCAGAATTCTGGATCAACTGAAGACGGTGCAGCAGAGATTGGTCAATCCCAACTGTAGAGGGAATTGCAATAATCCAGTCTGGAGAAAATAAAAGCATGAATAATCCTCTCAAGGGTATCAAGTGGAAGATAAGGCTTGACGTTGCTGATGAGCCTTAAATGATAAAAACTAGACCGGACCACTGCGCTGACCTGCCTGTCAAATTTAAAGTTGTTGTCTAAAAGAACTCCAAGATTCCTAACAAAGTGACAATCAAAATCCAAATAGCCAACAGCACTGTTAAATCCTACCTGCAGGTCAGTTTTGCCAAATCCAATGACTCTGTTTTATTTTCATTTAGAAAATTTAGCTCCATCCATCTTTTAACATCCTTTAAGCAGTTCTGCAGATTCACCATATGCTGAGGTCCACCAGATCTTAAAAGGTAAATAAATCTGAATGTCATCTGCATACAAATGAAATGACACATTATATTTATTGAAAACTGACCCCAGTGGGAGCAAATAAAGAGAAAATAAAATGGGGCCCCGAATGGAGCCTTGAGGTACCCCACATTTAACAGGAACCTGTGTGAAAGAAAATTCTCCAATATGTAAAGAAAAACTCCTTTCTGACAAGTAGGACTCAAGCCATTTAAGAGCAGAACCTCACACAAACCGACTGTTCCAAATGATATAGTAAAACAGCAGCTATTAGCTAGTCTTTTGCTACTTTTAGCCAGTCTTTTGCTGACTTTGGCTAGTCTTTTGCTACTTTTAGCTAGTCTTTTGCTACTTTTAGCTAGCTTTATGCCACTTTCTGCTTTTACCTAATCTCTAATTACTTTTACCTAGTCTTTTGTTACTTTTAGCTAGTCTTTTGCTACTTTTAGCTAGTCTTCTGATACTTTTAGCTGGTCTTTTGCTACTTTAAGCTAGTCTTTTCCTACTTTTAGTTCGTCTTTGCCACTTATTACTTTTACTTAGCCTTTATTACTTTTAGCTAACCTTTCACCATTTTCTGAATTTACTTAGTTTTTTGCTACTTTTAGGTAGCCTTTTGCTTTTTTTATTTAGCATTTTGTTAGTTGTAGCTAGTTTATGGCTGCTATTAGCTAGTCGTCTACTACTTTTATCCAGTGTTTTGCTGCTTTTAGCTAGTCTTTTATTATTTTAGCTAGTCTTTGTCTACTTTACCTTGTCTTTGTCTAATTTTAGCTAGTCAAAAAGAAAAAAATAAGTAGGTCCTCTGGATGGGTTCTTCTTCAGTGAAACATCACAGATTACGTCAAAGATTACTATGAAGTCCTACTAAAATACGACAAAGATTAGTTCACCCCAAAGATCCAGTTCCATGGCAAAAACAGAGTAATATTGTGTATGCTGTTAAGTGTCAGGAGGTGTGTGTGCTGTTCAGAACAAAACATTTCATGACCCGTTTAATTATCTGATGAGCACTTATTTAAAAACACAACTGAAAGAAAAATGAATTGCTTCAAGTTCGAAAACATTTGCAAATCTGATTCAGACAAGTAAAACATTGAAATTTCATCACTTTAAACCATAAAGATTATTTTAGTTAAATAAGATTTTTTGCCACAAAAACCATACATAGCTGAAATCATACTGAGGGAGAAAAGAGATCTGTCCTCTCTTCTCCTGTAACTTTGATAAACATTCTCTGATTTTCAAAATGCGTAATACTTTCAGTTAAGAGAACAATAAATCAAATAAGAGAAGATTCTTCTGTTTATTATCTGATTTAGAAGGAAGAGAATGTGTCTCTGAAAAGTTAAGGCAACCTGAGGTGGCCTAAACTCAGTTCTAAGCGGAACAGAGTTTTTGTCCCTTACAGGCCCATCAGAGGACTGAGAGTCCAAGACAGTTTCCTTGATAATTTCACTCGAGGTGACCCCTACATAGTGTTTTACTGCTTTTAGTTAGCTATGTGCTATATTTCACTTTGTGTGATACTTTAAATGTTTTGCTACCGCTGACTTTTAGCTAGTTTTTGTTACAGTTTCATTCAGCGCTCAGCGTCACACAGAAAATGCTCTTTCTAACCTTTTTATTAAAGTTTTTCTGTATTTTGTTAATGTGCAGTTGTTTGTCCTCCAGGTAAACGAGACAAACCATCTTCAGTATAATTAACTATGAAACTCATTCTGGCTGCGGTGAATTAATGAATCCATGCTGTTACTAAATTCCAAAATGTGGTAAACTAATTTAGTTTATTAATTAACCTAATTAACAAAATATTTACCTTATCATATAAACTCTTTATATTAAAAATATTTATATGTAAGGACTTGTATTTGTCCCGACTTTCCTTATATCTGTCCCTTCACGTCCTACCTGTCCCCACATGTCCAGGTGACAGTTGATCATATTTCAGGTTGTGTTTTTTGTCRTGTAATAATCACAAACAAACTCCAGCCATTTTAACTGAGACGTCCTCATCTTSTTTCAGGTCTGACGGGTCCAGGTCTCAGGTCCAGGCCGACCTGATCGTGGGCTGTGACGGAGCRTTCTCCGCCGTCCGTAAACAGTTCCTCCGTCGCAGCCGCTTCAACTACAGTCAGACCTACATCCCTCACGGCTACAAGGAGCTCACCATGCCGCCGAGGGACGGAGAGGTCAGGACTCTGGTGGGACAGGGTCCCTCTGGACCTTATTTTAGAAACTTTAATCCTGTTTTTGTCCTCTCCTCCAGTTTGCCATGAAACCTAACTTCCTGCACATCTGGCCACGAAACACCTTCATGATGATTGCTCTGCCCAACATGGTGAGTCCACGGCTGAGACAGGGACRGATGTCCACCTGCCAGCAGGACAAAGACGCTAAAGGTCCTCCTGTAGACCCTGGTCTCTGTCAAACTCAGACTAAGCAGAAACAGAAAATGAGAGAAATGATAGGAAGGATGAAGACTTTTGCACAGAACTACAAGTGAGAGAAGTCCCTGTCCCCGTCTGTGTCCTCTGTCCCTGTCTGTCTCCTCTGTCCCCGTCTGTCTCCTCTGTCCCCGTCTGTCTCCTCTGTCCCCGTCTGT